GTTATGGTTAGGATAAGTCTCCAGGAAATGCATGTAAGTCAATGTAATGTCCCCTGAAGTGATGTATATTTGGTATGTGTGTGTGTGTGTGCACCAGTTGTTTTATATAAATACACTGTAGGCCTACGTATATTTTTTCCTGCTGTCGCTGGGGTAGTTGGCCAGCGTAGCAAATCAAGTTTCTCTCACACACACACATATATAAATTCCAGCCTGCATCCAGATAGTATCATAAATATCATACACACACACACACACACAAATTCCCACACAGCAGCTATCTGGTGTCTGTGGCTCAGGTTGCTGTGTCCACTAAGACTTTACAGGATGTCTGACCTATTCTGACCGTCGCTGCGGCCAAGACTCCTCTACTATTCCAAATATCAAATACCAACATCAGCAATAACCACCAGCACTGCTCCGAGTAGCTACAACCTGGTGTGTGTGTGTGTGTGTGTGTATGTGTGTGTTGCCTGCATTAAGAGTGGAGAATCACGGTGGTTTTTCTGCAGATTTGAGTTACATTTTGTGGATTAAGGGGTCACGGAGGGAGTTTGACCCTAGATGAGCCCGAGCCAGCAAACCCGCTATAAAACACTCCTCATCTCCTGCTCTTCCTCTAACCCCCCCCCCTGCTCTTTATGCCTTTCTTATCTTTCCTGTTCAGCTTATTTTTGTACTTTAATTTATACCTTTTTCTTGCTCCTTCTCTTTTCTTTATAATGTGGAACCACAATGTGTTTTATATGTACATTTTTTTAATCAATATTCTCACATTTACAATAATTTAAGTGAATTTAAATGTGTAAAACTGGTTTGAAAACATATGTTCTGTTTTCATTGCCTTGTTTTATTCACATATAAAAAAAATGTTTTGTCAATTTTAAAAAGTGAGGTTTAAAAAATTGGTTTTCCTTTTCAGTAACTATCGACACAGCATTTATAATTTAGGTAAACACACATATAACATTCTGAAAATCCTTATATTTATTATATATTATTAAATTATTAATTAAAGACACAAAGACAAACAAAAAAATTAGAGCATGGAAAACTGTGACAGTTTTGTGAGTCAACTAAATTAACTAAAAATAAAAATAATACATACATTAAATTGATATTGTGCATTACATATTTTACTCAATACACCAATGGGTTTAAAAATTAAAGAAACAACGTGTTTCTTAAAAACGTGTTTCTTAAAAGGGCCCATTGAAGCCATATCTTTTGACTCATATTAGATAATAGGATTAAACATTTGTTAATGGTAATTTTAACTATGTTAGATCCACTGGCAATCGTATACTCACAAATTACTGAAACCTTCAGCTGATATCTTGATTGGGAAACTGCTCCAATGTTGAACTTAAAATATTGCTACACATAAACCTTTCTGTAAAATATATAGTCGACTACATCCCTTTTTTTTTCAACTTTACTCTCTGTAACAGGCCAGAAAGTGAAACAAGTGGTAAACCTGCAGGAAGCCGGAGAACAGAGGAGGTTTGTTGGTGTTGTAATGTAGGAGAACATGGACAGGACTTCCACTCTGCCAAGAATCCATGATTTATGTAAGCCTACCATCTGTTGCCACAGAATACGTTGCACAACTACCAATGAGTCAGATTGGCTATACGGTCATCTACAATGTCTCACACACACACACCAACCACACACACACAGTAAGATGGATAGCGGTGGCGAGCTCACAGAGGCTCATATGAACAATGGATGAGGTGAGAAAGAAGACTGCTGATCTCCTTACTCCCACTCTGAGTGACCTGAATACACCCCAGCGCGCGCACACACACACACACACACACACACACACACACACACACACACACACACACACACACACACACACACACACACACACACACACACACACACACACACACACACACACACACACACACACACACACACACACACACACACACACACACACACCATGTATACATCACTTCAGGGGACATTACATTGACATGCATTTCCTGGAGACTTATCCTAACCTTAACCAACACATACCTAACCCTAACCCTTACCCTTAACCTAACCAAGTCTTCACCCTAAAATTAATGATTTCCCTTATGGGGACCTCCAATTTGTCCCCATAAGGGAGGCGAGTCCACACACGCACACACACACACACACACACACACACACACACACACACACACACACACACTGATTGAGCGCTTCTCAATAGCCTTTAGATTCCCCTACACTGGTGTCATGCCTCAGATGTGACGTCTTTGTTCCCACCCGTCAGACCCCCACCTTAAAAAACTGAAGAAACACAATTAAAAAAAACTGCCACACCTTTCCTTGACACCTTGACCCTTCACACTCACACACACTCACACACACATCGGCTCGTGGCATGTTTGCTCTTACGACGTGAAAGCCCTCTCTCATTAACCCAGAGGGCACCCCCAGCCTCCCATTGTGCCCCTATCTCCCGCAGCATTCTGGGTAAAGTAGTTTAACAATGTCAACCAGATAAGCCCAATGCAAACGTGCTGATAAGCAGTGAAAGACTGCACTTAATGTGTGTGTGTTTCTTGAAGGCGTTGCTTGATTGAGGAGCCAATGAGGAGGATGTAAAAGACCAACAGTGAGCAGAATGGGTATATATATGTGTGTGTGTGTGTGTGTGTGTGTGTGTGTGTGTGTGTGTGTGTGTGTGTGTGGTCACCCTGGCAGGCGCACAGTTTCATATCTTTGTAATAACAATCTAAACTGCAGAAACAGCTAAACACAGAATACAAAAGAAAAGCAAACACACATCCCGCTGGACAAAGAGTCTGTGTGATTTCAAAATGGCCAAGGACCATTAGCAAAGTTATTCAGACAAAAAAAGTGACTCAACTTTTCCTGTATTGACAAGTTAAGCAGAAGGAGAGAGATCCGCTCGCAGAAAAGAAAAAGGGTCCGAGGAGTGGAGGGGCCCACATGTAAGAGAAAAGAAAACGCAGCTCAGTGAAATAAAGTTTACGGCCGATGTCCAAGGCGACGCTGAATCTCGAGCGTTTCTTCGCCGGCTGCCACGAGGCCACTGCACTGTAATGCGAGGTCAAAGGTAAATCCTCTATCCAGACTTTAATGTCGCAATGAGCCGCGTCACAAAGGCTCCGCTGCGATAAAAAGGTGTGAATATTTCACAGGAATTCTCAAATAAAACGCAGTCCCAGAAACTCCACTTAAAGGAAGCTGAAAATCAATAAAAGTACACATAAGTAACTAAGTATATTTACTCAAGTACTAATAATTTCAAGGGACTTCTATATTACTTGAGTATTTCCATTTGTTGCTACTTCAGAGGCAAATGGTGTACTTTTACGCCACGACATTCCTTTAATACCTTTAGTTACTTTGCAGATTTTGATTAATAATGAGCAATATAATCAACTTTAGACTTTAGTTACCTGGAGTATACAAAGTCATTAAGACTAGCTGCATCCTTACCAGCTTTGATAACACTTCATCAATAATTAAAACATATATATATTATTCTGAAATGGAGTAATGTGCATACTAATGAGTAGTATATATTGATGCTAAAACTTTTGTTCTTTTACTAGAGTAACATTTTGAATGCAGGACTTTTACTTGTAACAGAGTATACTATACTTCTACTTTTACTTAAGTACAAGATCTGAGTGTTTCTCCCTCCTAAAGAAGAACAGGAATGCATGGAGACTGCGTGGATTTACATCAGACTGTACACAAGACAAGCTGTTTGGTGAGCACATGAGCTGCATGTTTGCATCACACACACACAATTGTAAGCACACACCCATGCACAAGTATTTGAAATCTTGGCAGGCCGAAACCCGATATGGTCGCTTTGTTCTCTTAATGGTCCTGTTCCGTTTTTATTATCCTGAATACCTGACCCACCTGTACACCCAGGTGCCTTTACCCTGCGCGTCGTCTCTCAGGAATCAAGGGAAGATACAGTTTCCCTTTCTATCCCCATTCTTCCCCTTCTATCGACAGCTACAGTTTCAAATTGCTTCCTCCTCTCATGTGTTTCTTCCTTTCTCCCTCCCCCTCCTTATTCTTTCTCCTGCGGTCCATTTCCTGCAGCAGACAAATGATCGGCATTGATGAACACAAGGCCGCATTCAGAGGACTCACGCCCAATCAGAAGTGGAGAAGAAAACAATCAAGATTTTTTTTTGTAAGAATCTTTTTTAATGAAACACAAAAAAGGCAATAAAATTAAGATAAATATTTTTTTCCTTTTGTACATGAGGAAATATTTAAGTCATATTTCCCAAAGAATGACTGAAATTACATAATATATTTTAGTAGGCAATCTCAACCGTACAAAGCAGTTTTTCCAGTGGGTCTTAATAAAAATAAAAAAGCAATGATGTCGCTTCGGTCAAAACGTGATGTTTACAGCTCCAGTGTTTCTTAGAGAAAATACAGCTTTAAAAAAAATCAATCAATAAAAGACCCATAAAAGTAATATTTAAAAATGGAGTTTCACATTCCTCTTAAAGCTTTTGCTTCGCAGTGTAACAGCAACATGTTGTTAACAAAATCAGTCAATGTCCTTAAAAAAAAGAAAGAAAAAGGCAATCATGATTCCCCCCCCCCCCCCTGTACATCCTATACACCGACAACCAACAGTCGTCACAGAATTGCATAAACGGTACGATGGAGGAAAACATAAAAACACACACATACACAGACATTTTGGCAAAGCAGGAATAAAAGTGACAAGAAGCGTAATTTTGTGATTTGATCCTTATCTTGTTTTGTCTCTTATCAACATCGCCCCATTGAATTGGCTCTGATTGTCCTTCACAGTCACGTGACGCCATTACGGTTGCCATGGTGACCTCAAGTGCATCAGCTGGGCAGCGTGCAGACAATGTTGCTGCAACGTTTCTCGGAGGCTGTCATAGCAACGCCGGATGAGCACGAGCATAACCTCCGTGATTGCAGCGGGTCCCGGATTCAGATTTGATTGATCGTTTTTCTTTTTCTTTTTAAATGTCTTTTTTCATATAAATTGTTTTTAATGCGATGAAACTCACAGGTGCTTTGGTATGTTTCTTTTTTTGATGCCAGATAAATATCTACATTTGATATAGGAATACAGGAAATAGATAAAGGAGATTCTTATAGGATCAGAGGACAGCAGAAACTCGGTTTCTTTTCCAGTATTTGTATTAAAAAAGCACATTTTAAACCCAATGGAGTGAAATAAGGAGAGAAAAATGAATTTAGACAAAAAGAGCCTTTTTCTGATTTCCTTAGAAAAACATTTCCCAAACACCCTTTCTACATATTTAAAGTCTTCACATCAGTTGTACAGTTTGACCCCGAATCTCCAATCCTGTTCAGTGCATTGAGAGAGAAGGACACTAACCCTCCCTCTGTCAAAAGCCCCCCGATCCCACCCACACACACCCTCAAAAAACGTAAATAAAATAATCTCTGCAAAAGAAAACAACAAATATATATGTATACTATTTACAACATGTCATATTATACATGATGCTGTACAAAGCACGCACACACAAGCGCCCATGCACACACACATCTCAAATAAACAATCCAACTACCTGTACATGTGTCTCTGCACCCGCAATAGGTGGGTATGAGAGAGAGAGGTATTGACGTGTATGGCTTGACAGGAGAAGAAATTCCGGTTTTCTGAGGACTGCACGTTTAGTACGGGACAGATTCATATTCAGAGAGTTCCAGATAAACTGCCGAGACGTCATCCCTGCCTGATGAGCGCGGATGAACACGTGCCACATATTCAGTACAAACACACTCACCGCTAAAGCACTATTTACTTAGAGCTCATTAAATGCCAAACAGGGTCATCGCAGTCACTCTGCAAACACACATTCACACTCTCACACACAAAGTCCGAACTACAGTGTTTTTTTGGTCCTGTTGGGGATCTCCCAATTGTCAAACTACCAGTATAAGACCATTAAAAACCCTCCAAACCAGTGCGGTTTACAGTAAGTCTCCGAGTCAGTCTTTGTTTTAGACTCCCGCCGTAGTATATCCAAGCGACTGTAACTCCAAAGTGCTCATGTCCTTGGTTCTTTAGTTTCCTTGTCGACGATATCCTCTGTTATTTCAGCCACAGGGAAGGCTGCCGACAACAAGGAGCCTCGGTCCACATCTGATAAAGAGGTTGAACCTGTCACGGATCAGACTTTTCCCCAGAACAAAACCTCTTAGTGCCAGTACTGTCAGGCTTTATCCAGTGTGGCCAGCTCCTTCTCTCCGAGGGACAGATCAACACGCAGAGTCAGAACTCTTTGTCTTGGTTTGCCTCCGTCCCTAGCTCCGGTCTGGAAGCAGGATCCAGAATGTAGGTTAGACATTTTTGGATTTCTCTCTAGCTGGAGGTGCTAGGACACGATGGCCATGCCGTCCGCGCTGATCAGCTGACCCGTGGTGGGTTCGTAGGACCCCGCCAGGTAGAAGAAGTCGTTGGCCGCGCTGCCGGGCTTACGGTCACGCGTCAGGTGATCGTACTCCACCCTGCTGACCACCTGGCAGCGATGGGAGATGGTCTGAACATCGTTCTCATCCTCGTGGCTCGACTGATACAATGCATTCTGGGAAAGATAGACAGGAAGAATGGTAGATTAACAAGGGGGCGTCAATTTGTGTGGAAAAGAAGCGGGGACAAAGGTGGTTCAGATTATCTTTAAATGGTCCCAAACCTGTACAATGTTTTTGCCATGCAACCAGTTTGAGGTCAGAGTAGATAATTAGCAGGATTGGGAAAAAACAAGAATCTATGTCAATATGTATTTAAAGTAACTGATGCATGCTTTTTTGGGCAACATTTAAAGGGTCCCTATTGTGCTTTTATGTGTTATCCTTTTCCTGTAATGTGTTAAATAGGTTTCAGTGCATTTAAATGGTCCGCAAAGGCTAAAATTCCACCTACTGTATGTTGATAAATCAGCAAGGATACTGTATATACAGCCTGAAAACGTTGCTTTCACAAGAAAAGCTGTTGTTTTTGTTTGGCAATATCGTTCGTGCCTCATATGTCAAATCCGTTTTTGTCATGTCTCGTAGCGTGGGTTGTAGTTTGAGTTCCTGCCAGTTGTGATCTTTTCTGTTTGCTCAGCCATGATGGATATTTCTGCTCATGCAAACTCCTCAGCTCTTTTTCTAGTTATTCCAAACAAACCACTATTGCTGTTGCCAAAAATGCAAAATGCATGACTTCCTGTGCGGCAGGAGAGACATTTTTCCTGGGAAAGAGTATTTAGAAACAGTACATGATAACATTTTCATGAACTAAAGTGGATGTTCAGCCGTTCATAGCGGATGGAAACGGGGGAATAAAAAAGCAGCAAAGAGGTAATATATTTATATGAAAATTTCACGGGCTGTTACTTTGACCATTCCCTGTTTTAGAGAAATTCTACTTGCACTCTGCGGCCTTTACCTTGCCATCACGGTGTCGCTTCCCCAGACGGGTCTCCTCCGGGTGGTAGAACCACTTGACCCTGACCACCATGCTGGAGCTCCAGGACTCCCAGAGGCTCTCCACCCGGCCCACGTAGGGCAGCTGGGGCCGGCCGGGTGACAGAAACACCGCGCAGTCCCCGACACGCACCGTCTCCTTGCCCCTCACGATGGCCTTGTAGAAAAGCTTGCGGGCTTTACCCTTCAGACCTCTCCTCTGTGGAGGGAAAGGGAGTTAAAATAGCACTCTGTCAGTTTATTCAGCGCCGAGGGCTCATTTCACCACCAAAAGTCAATTAAGATGTGTTTTTGTTTTGCTAAACCCAGGCTACCAAAGCACGGTTAGATTTAATACTTCTTTCCTAACGCCAAAAATGAGCTAATGCCCACTCATAACACTCAGATCCTGTTGAGTTACAGGACCATGTTAGCTGGCACACAAATGGAGAAGAGCTTACACCTTTATTTCTGCTCTGTCGTTTCATTTTTAACGCTGCAGATGTTTACAGAGCAAACAGCGCGGCAGAATGTAAACTGAGAGTGGCAGTGGCTGCTCAGACTGTTTTGTTCTGTTATCTCAGGATCATGACTTAATAATCAGGATAACACAGTCAGAGAATAAAGCCTCGTAGTGTTGCCAAAGTCTACAAAGACTGAGAAAGACTGCAAGGACAAATTCTATTTGATCATTGTATGTCATCAAGATATGACACAGCAGACTGAAACAACAACAGTCTACTTAAGTTGTGAAGTGAAAGGTTATTGACATGGTTTCGTAATTGTATGACCAACATAACAATGTGTGATAATGGAAAAGTCTAGAATCCATTTCATGTCTATTTTCACCAGAATGGACGCGTGTGAATTCTCTTTTGACTTTTCGTGTATGTAAAGGGCCCCAAAAATGCGTTGATTTCAACTCTGCTTTAATTTGAATTGTACAAAGCCCAACGTGTCTTACCTGTGTGGGGTTTCCGGACCATTTCCAGAGCTGGCGTCCAGGCAGAAGAGGTGCCAGGCTGGGCAGAGGCTCAGGTGAAGACATGCGCTGCCGCTTGGCCGGGTCCTTGGAGGAAGATTTCTGCAGCTGGCTCCCTGGGCTGCTCTGCCTCTGATGGTGGCTGCTGGACCCTCTGTCCTTCCTCTTCAGCTGGGCCTTAGCCGTGCTACTGTTAGCCACCAGACCTCCTTTTGACATCAACTCCTTCCTGTTTTCACTCCTCACCTTTGACCCCGAGATGCTACCTTTGGCCCTATAGGGAGCTGGAGGTGAGGAGCTGGAGGGGGCGGAGTCAGGGTTCAGGAGGTCAGAGGTCACGTTTTGTCTGTGTTTGTGTTTGTCCTGCTGGAGTAAGGCGCGTCGCAGCAGCACGGCGGACGACTCTTCATCCGATGAGTAAGAGGAGTCGTTTTCTGACGAGCACAGGGACGATGAGGAGATGGAGCCGGAGGAGGAAGAAGAGGAGGATGACGAGGAGAAGCAGGCGGAGAGACGGGAGAGAAATCGGCTTCCACGTTGGGATGCGTCCCCTGTACTTCTCCGTGGAGCTTCAGCATCCTGACCTTCATCCTCGTCTTCCTCATCAAGCTCAGAGTAAGAGCTGGGGCAGTCGCTCTGGTAGTCCAAATCCCCTTCTTGGACTCCGAGACCTGCAGCCAGGAGATCCTTCCTCAGAGGTGGAGATCCCTTTGAAACCCCCTCAGATCGGACCCCGGTGATATCTTTCTCTCCTCCTGACTTCTTCCCATCTTTCACCACCATGGCAGGGTGGATGTATCGCAGCGGCACTCCTGCAGAGGCCGGACTTGTATCCCCTTTCCCTCCAAGTCTTTGTAGCGCCTTTCCATTCTTTGTTTTGGGCGAGGTTACTCCTTCGTGATCGAGCTTCACCAGGAACTGCTTTCTGTCGCGTTCGCTCGCCGGATGCCTGTTGTTAGACGCCATGTTTACTGATGGGGAGCAGGCAGAGGACGAGACCCCCATGGAGGGTCCAGAAGAGCCAGGTCGCCCCGATCCAGAGCTCCTGGAGGTGGAGTAGCTGTTGGCGATGCTGCTGAAGGAGTCTCCTGCAAAAGGGGAGCCGAAGATGCCTTTAAATGGCGTCGGCGGAGCGAGGAGGTGGGAGGGCCGGTGAAACATCCCAAGGTCTCGCTCTCTCCTCCTCTGGGTCTTACGGGACGTCCCGTTGAAGAGGAAGAAGTCAACCGGAGGTCGCTTCTTGGGCGCAGACCAGTTCAACAAGGAAGTGTTGCCTTTGGTTACGGTATCCGTGTTCGATGTCTTTGGCACAGAGTGGACTTTCTTCGGTCTGCCAACTGAAAAAGGAGAAGAGTTATAATCAGGCTTGGGTTGTAATGGATTACATGTAATGGCATATCGTAATCAGGATACAAAAAAACACATAACTGGTACTTTAAAAAAAAAAAAAAAGGGAATTACTAGCAGGATGACAAAGTAACAACCCATCTAAAAATAAATATACTTTATTATATATATAAAATTACTTTTATATCGCGATACTTAGATTAGGCTACTAATCAAAACATTTAGTAATTGTAAACCATTTGAAGTAACTCTCTCGCCCCTGTTATAATCAATATGAAGTAATGGATCTTGAAAGTGATAATCGTGGAAGAGTTTTGGAGAAACGTTAACCCTTTATCTCTTTGATCTCCACCTAGCCAGGTATAAACAACATATCCATTACTCAAACTAAAACAAAACCTGGTAAACCTGTCTCTCCCTCCGGTCTTATTGTTACCCGGAGTTTTTGAAGAGTAAAAAGCATGTTGCGTAACAAAAGAAAACACACCGATGACACCTCGTTAACGCGTGATTGATGTGGTCAAATAGAGGTTAAATGATAGGAGGCAAACAAAGAGTTTTAATTTACGAGTCTTTCGGTTTATATCCCTCCCCTGCTCTGACTCGGGGGCATCTGATAAGTGGTTGGCAGTTTGAACTGTAAACGAGGCGGTGTTTGGGGGGATTTTCCAATATTGCCTAAAGGGCTGTGAATGTATTTACTAGTTAGACCAGTACTTCTCAGACAACATCAAATTAACCTTTGGTGTCTGAGGGACGTACAATCCCAGAGTGGATTCCTCAGTGTTATTAAATAAAAACCCATTCTTTCCCACACATATAAAACTAAAGATTCAAGTAGTTTATTTCCCAGAGGGGCCGGTTATCCTGCGTTGGGTTACCCCCAAAACACACCAGGAGCGTCTGCGCCGCGTTACGTTGCGGCTGCGCCACGCTGCGACCTCCTCCTGCGACAACACACACCAGACGCGTTTCAAAACGTTGCGGAAGCGGAGCGTCGTGTGTGCAGCCTCGCAGTTGTTGTTGATTTTGGAATATTTCCTGGACATTTGTACTTCTACAAGTAAGTAGGCTATACGTGGTTAAATGGTTTATGTTTGTGTCTGTTTAAATCGTGTTTATTGTTGTTATTTCCTATTTTGTTGTGTTGTAGACTACAGACACAGTTAATAATAGCCTAATTGTAATATTCCAGTTATAAACGACATGAATCAAAGATGTGTTATTAACGAAGCACTTTTATACTAATAAAGGACTGGCTTACCTAAAGCCAGTTGAGTAGCACTTGAAATGTTTGGCTCTATGAAACCTGATGTACTTATATGATTCTGTTTTCTTCAAGGTTGTGTCTTCCTGGTCGAATGTACTTATTGTAAGTCGCTTTGGATAAAATCGTCAGCTAAATGCAATGTAATGTAATGTAATGTAATGTAATGTAATGTAATGTGTTGCTGTATTTTAGTGGTAAAAAAATATGCATTCATCATCATAATTATTCTATATATATATATCATTTACAGTGCCTGTAAACCGGAGGAGAACGCTGGCATGTATTCTCCTACTTGTGGGGTCTGTTAAATTAGTATATGTGGGGGATGGGCCTGGCCCGGATGCTCACCTTTCCACTTCCTGCGAGGGGGGGGCTGCCTGCCCGACTTTGCTTTACGGCTGCGCCGCGGCAAAAATAAGATTCATCCTAATTTTAGAGAAGCGCTGCGCCGAGCCGCTTCTGGGACGCGTCTGAGCCGTAACGCGGCGCGTGTGGTGTAATAGCACCCATTGACTAGAGTGGCCGCGATCCTTACGACCGCCGCGGCTCGGCCGTAACACGACGCAGACGCTCCTGGTGTGTTTTGGGGGTTAGTCTCGTCACTTTTTGGATAAAATAGCAAAACCTAAAAAGTTATGAATTAACCTAATATTTGCCTTAACCCTTAGGTTAAACCCTCAGGAGACATTGCACCTAATTTGACTTTCAAACACGTATGATTATTATTCTTTTTTATGATCAACGATTTAAAAATACATTTAGATTTTTGCTCCTTGCGACCCTTCTTTTTACCCGACTGTTGATAAATTCTCAAATTGACCATAGTGACGTAAATATATGTACAGCTAATAGTGGTAACATTTCCCTCACCTGGTCGTTTCTCCTGGGGCCTTCCTGCTGTCTCATCATTGGCCGGTTTCTCTGTGGGCGTGTCTTTCCTCTCCTGGGTGGAGCTTCTTCGTCCGCGGCAACCAGGGGAGATCAGAAGAGCTGGAGAGGGTTCAACACCTGATGGAGAAAAATGGGTTTAAACTAACGTTTTTAGCTTGATTGTTTCTTTCTTTCCTTCCCTCCTTGCTTCCTATCTTCCTTCCCTCCTTGCTTCCTATCTTCCTTCCTTTTTCTTTGTTGTTTGTTCTACTTTTGTTTTTTCCTTCCTTTCTCTTACTCACAGCAGATTTGGTATCCTGGTGGCAGGAGCCTGATGTTTGTGAGGGAGATCCTTCCTCTGTCTCCATCATCAAACTCCACCATCACGCTGCCTTCCTTCTCCTCCTCACCTGGACTCCCTAAAGCACAACACATAAAACAGAAGACATTAGTTTCTGGAAAGGCACTAGTGTGTGTGTGTGTGTGTGTGTGTGTGTGTGTGTGTGTGTGTGTGTGTGTGTGTGTGTGTGTGTGTGTGTTTATCAGTACTTCCTGCTCACCTCGATGGATGTATCCGGGGTAAAGACAACGAGAGCGCTCACTCCAGTACGTACACACTCGTGTCCCTGCAGTGAGGATGGTCTCGCTCTGGGGCCTCACGTCCAACACCTGGGAAAATCACAAAATGATCTGTATTACAAATGTTTCAGTAGGAGTTTCCTGTGACAGATGCTGGAGCCTGAAGACTGAAACTCACAGCTTCCTGTAGTAGCTGCTCCAGCGAGTAGATCCGTGGGCGATTCCCTCGTTCTCCTTCGATGACAACACTGAATCTGAGAGAGACAAAATGTAAATAATGTAAATGTAAAATAAAAACTTGACACTTTTTTTCCACTACCAGCTGTGCTGGCTGCCACTTCTGTGTATCTTGGCTTTATAGTTGTCTAGACTACCAGAGCTAGTTTTTGAAGTTGTAAACCAGAGAACACTGTTGTTGCATTTTGGCATTTTATTGCTTACCTTTAGGGGTTCCAACTATGAAATTGGTAAGCTAAGGTGGTTATCATCTAACATGTTGATGCTTATCGTTTTGGAATCAGCAACCCTGGCTCCTATACAATTACTTTACCATATAATTAAACTGCAATGCGACTGAAATGTATTTTCCACCCGGATGTATGACTCCAGTCCTACGGATGTTGTTGCGGATTTGCGAAAAATTACAAACGCTTGTTACTTTACTCTTCCCTGGCGTGCTTAATGTTCAAAAAGGTCTTTGGGATTGGTAAACCCCTTTGAGAAGTCCCGCCCTTTAGCCTATCATGTACAATGTGTTCGGGCACTAGCCAATAGAAGCACGAGTGTCACGTATGTGAAGTACACAAAGTCCTTTTGAGACCATTTACATGCACAAAAACCTATATAACACACGACTACAGGAAAGGGAAAAACCCCAACAAGCATAATAGGGGCCCCTTTAAATGAAATAACAATCATCTTTTAAAATAATCTAATGCTGACTTTTGATTGCATGCTCAATACATACAGCAGTTTACTGAGGTCTTTTAACTAAGGAGATTTGCAATATGTCAAAAAACTAACTCAATCCAAATATAATCCCATGCTCTTTGGTTGGGAGCAT